GGCTAGTAAAAGTACTGTTCCTCCAGTACATATAGCTCAAGAAAATGGTTTTGATGAGCAGGACATTCTGTTTGCACTAAATGAGAGAAAGACTCTTAGACAGGTATTGATTTATTTCAGTTACAATCACTTTAAAGTTAAATGATTGACTGCTATAGGGTTCTGCTTTCTTTTCTTGTTTGGGACGAAGTCCTGAGGTTCTTTAATATTTGCATGAAAGTTTTGGAATCCCAGTTGTTTGGATAAACTTAAAGGTTACAAGGAACCAGAAAAAAAATGTGTACGTATTATATTTTGGTGATGTGTAATAATTAATACAACTCCATTGGACTTGATGAGCAAAGAATTGATGCTTACCTGACTGAGTGTTATAAGCTAGATGCAGTTTCTTATGACTGCAACATTCATGATATCTCTGAGTTGCAAAAGATTTATTTCTCTTTTTTTGATATATTACACTGACACAAAATGATGATATGGATGAGATATGCCATAGGTCTTTTTTTGGTGCTTTTAGTGCTTTCCTGTTTAAGTAATTGAAGATGTTGCATTATTACATGGTTAAAACAACTTTTCTGTATACAATGGTTTCATGTGAAATGTTCATGTGTTCGTTAGGGTTCGCTTGAAATCAGCCTAAACGTATCTTCTTTTTTTTCCCCAATTCATTTTGAAGATGTATTTACCTGCTTTTGTTTTTCATAGCCAATCTGCTTATTATAGGGGTGTAAAGTATGCCAATCACTCACATGTTGCTTCTTTCCTTTTTTTTTACTTTTACCTTGAGTCTCTTGATTGGATGACATTTTTGATAGAAAATTAATTTAATCAAATAATTCTAAAGGCTTTGATGTGATAGTAAAGAAATGTTTGTAGTGATGTCTTATGAAACTGTCTGCTCGGGAGTTCGGGGAGCATTGCAGAATCAGTTCAATATATGGTTTTCTTATTTGGTTTGTTTTTCCTTTGTTGTATGTACTCAGTCTCTGAGCCCATATGTTTTTTTAGTATAAGAGTTGCACCTGGCTGACCACTTTTATTTGCTAATGAAGCTCATTAGGAATGGGGAGATCGACTTTGCTCTTGGTAAACTCCGTGAATGGTATCCCCAAATTGTTCAGGTAGACTGTCTAATATTTCAAAATGATCTTTTGGTGGCCATTTTTACTTTTATGTAATTCTTTGCTCTCGATGTTGAACAGATCTTGGCACATGCAGTAAATTCTGTAAAGCATGTGTTTGAGAGGGTTAAAGTGTATCCTAATTGTTTCAGTTAATTGCAGATCTCGTATTTTACCTACTTAACATGTGAATTTCTTTGTCTGTAATTGTGTGTCTTGTATTCTTTTCCTACAAATTGGTGTCCTATTTTTTGCAGAAAATGTTTTGAAAAATACACGAGGCTCATAGTTTCAAATTTCTATGTTTTCAATTTAATAAAGTACTTCTGCTAATAATTAATATAATGTTTGATCATCTGGTCTTAATTAAACCAACTTTTGTTATGTAGCAAAAAAAAATCAGTTGAAGGTTGTGATAATATTTGATTACTCTTAGCTAACCAAAAAAATAAATTTGATTACTCTTAATTCTTAACATAATTACGAATTCCAGTATATTTGGCATGTTTACTTGTTTACATTTTATGATTCTTTTGTTTGTATGCTTATGCAGTGAATTATGGATCACAGATAAATTTACTTTTTATGGGTGTATAGCAATGCTATTTATGTGGTTTTGAAGTTTGGCTTTATCTTATGTGCTATTTGGTAAAGTTACTGTCCTTGACCATCTTAGGATCAATGCTTGATTTTTTTTTTAATTTAATTTTGGTCATAATGCTTATTTTGTTAAGGTCATGACTTAAGTTTTGCTTTCTGCAGGATGATAAATCTGCTACATGCTTTCTGCTCCACTGTCAAAAGTTTATTGAATTGGTTCGGGTATGTTTCCCCTATTTGCATGAGATTAGCTTTAGTATCACATCAGATAAATTAAAACATGAATATTACGGATAAAGTCATGACAATACTTGTGGGTTATTTTTTTAAATGAATTGGAAGGATACAAGAAAGTCTTGCATACTTGTTACATTCAGTGTTTAAGCGTTGAAGGAAACCATTAAATCACGATTAGAAACATGGATTGAACTGTGTAACTTCATTTCAGATGGCTAGATATTATACTACTTTCAAGTGTTAACAAATGGCGCATTAGATTTAGTGTTCACAAATAACAGGTGCAGCCTGCATTATTTGCTTGGCATCTTTTAGGTCCGGCTTATATGAGGTTTTTGTTTATTTTATAGAGCATCTGATTGCCATTTGGTGATCTTACACGAATATGACAAAGTTCTTTGGCCTGCCTTGAGATACTTAAAATTGTCATGTAGGTCGGAGCACTGGAGGAGGCTGTCAAATATGGGAGGATGGAATTGGCAAGGTTCTTCGACTTGCCGCTGTTTGAGGACCTAGTTCAGGTAATAAAAGAAATATTTTTATTTTTTTAATTTCATGTATTTCTAGAAAATATGGAAGACCAGTGAGGTACAAAAACACAGTACCTACTGGCAAACTCATATTAATGGTGTTCGTTAATCTGCATGTTGTATTGCGTTTCAGTCGCTACATGTTCCTCTGGTGCTTCTTTTGGAAGCACCACATTAGAACTAGACCCTTTTATTTTTATCATTGAAATTTAATGTTTATCATCGTTACAACACCTCTATCTGTAGGACTGTGTAACACTGCTGGCGTACGAAAGGCCACAGGAATCATCGGTTGGATATCTGCTTGAAGAGTCTCAGCGTGAAGTTGTAGCAGACACAGTTAATGCAATGATCTTGTCAACAAATCCCAACCTGAAAGATTCTTCGCACGGTTGCTTGCATTCATATCTGGAGAGGTTACTCAGGCAGCTTACTGCTTGCTGTTTGGAGAGAAGGTTTTTGAGCGGGGATCAAGGCGAAGCCTTCCATCTGCAGAGAGTACTTAACAGTAGTAAGAAAGCTAGGTGCTAGCTGATTATTCTCTACTTCTCGTCTCCGTGTTCATATGCACATAAGCCATTTTCTGAACCACATCTCCAACTGAACAGACTGGCTTATCATCCGGCAGAGCATACTGTATAGAGGCGCCCAATAATGTTTACGTGAGCCGCAATGATACTAAATTTCTTGTATAGAATGGGTATGTTCTCTTTCTGTAAGTTTGTAACCCACCGCGTTTACCGGCGAATTAGAAATTCAGTTGAACCGCCTTCTGGGAACGTTTACGTATTAGATTTCAATAGATTCAATTTACGTTGTGAACTTACCTTGTTGCTCCATTGGACTTTTAGGAAAATACTCGGGAAACGAAACCGAGGATGGTGAATTACTTGTTGAGGAAAATTGTAGTGGTTATGGTTGATATTCCATTTTTTTTGGTTTTGTTTTTAAGACTCAAGAACATGACCAAAGAATTGGAGTGCTCTTCCCTGAGGGAAAATGATGTATTTTGTAGGGGTGGTAAGCAATCATTTGGTCATTTTTCCTTTGTGATAATTTGGAGCCACCCTTGCAGCACATGGCTTCTTTCCCTAGGGGAATAAACTATTTTCAACAAGAGTCCTGTTCTCTTAGACGCAAATCGTGGTCAATCGCAGTTTGATCTTAATTCAACGGTGGAGAAGAAAGTAAAACAAAAATGTTAAATAATCACCTATTGTTGGATTAACTATTTGCGACTACAACTCATGTTCCTTGTAAGTAAAACATCCGTGAAGAGGTCACCTTTTGTTTTTTTTTGTTTTTTGTTTTTATAGAAAACCTCAAAGTACAAGGGGAAATTTATTGATATCGAAAAAAAAGGTACAGCTAATCAGGGAGAGGAAGTTAACCGTCTCAATTTCAATGGTGAAACCATTTTCTTTCATCAATATGCTCCAACGCCCATCTTCTCTGTTTTCGTCTTTTATTTTTAGAAACGTTTCGTCTTTTAGAACTCAGTTGGGCATTCTATAGTTTCAAATTGGGATGACGGTCATTAAAAAAAATGCAACAATTTTATGGTTGTCTAGAGATGTAATTTCTGGGTGTAAATAGTATTTTTGTACCACAATTGTTTACCACCTTAGGTGGCATCTGATGTGGACAGCCACATCATCTAAATTAATTAGCATTCAATTTCAAAATGTTAATCAATAATTAATAAAAAGATTGTTAATTAAATGATGATTGTAGTATACGAGGAGTTTGCTTCTTCCACCTAAGATTATTTAAGTGTTTTAATTAATAAAAAGATTGAAATTAAATGATGTAGCTTGTGCAACTCATCTGCCACTTAAGATAATAAAAAAATGTGGTATAAAATTTTGGTAAGAATAGTATTGCTCTTTTAAATCTCACAGTCTTAGCATGTATAACTTTTAGTCACCAACCTCCTAGAAATAATCCATCTAAATCCTCTAACTTATGAGGACAGTTTCCATATTCTTCTCTGGGTTGCATGTAAAATCTTACTAGTCTTGCTAGTCCAGCATATCAAGGGGGCGGTATTCCTTGGACTATTTTATTAATAGACCTAGGCTGTGTTTAGAAAAGTTGTCTAGAGTAGTATGCTCCTCTCTCTTTTTCTAAATTCGAATCTCCGTCCTTATAGTTTAAATTAAAGTTATTAGATTATCACTCGAATAAAAAACATAAAAATATAATAATTTTCTCTTGACGTTCTCTCGAAGTCTTCCACAACTGCTGCAAGCTAAGACATGCTTCAGAAACATGTACCAAGACTGTTTATGTAATATTAGCCGGACTGCTAGTTATGCACTTTATTCCGGGTTCTCTCGCTTTGCTGTCCACACATATTGTGACTGGATAGGAAGACAACCCAAAAACACAAATTAATGGAAGAACTCTTTACCAAAAATAAAATAAAATAAAAAAAATTAATGGAAGAACCGAGAAGTTGTCAACTAAATACAAAAGATAGTGAGTTATCATATACAAACCTGCAGACGGTTCAAATTTTAACAGTTGTGACATACTTAATAAGCATGCCAACGATATCCGATTGGACCTTTGAGGCTGACTCCTTCAAGTTCTTAATTTTCGTATCAGTTTCCTCTTCGAGCCTTTTCACATTGGATCCTGAACTCCCACTTGTCTGCAGAAATTTTAAAGCTAATCAGAGAAACTTATCAAATCATTAGGATCTCAAATTAATTCAAAAACCCTTATGCGTGTGTTATGTTGGTATGAATCATAATGCTGCTAATTATTTCATCACAAAAAGGATCTTTTTTTTTTTGGGGAATAATGGAGTGACCCTGATACATTTGGGTAGTTGATGAAAAACTAGTTAGTACATCTGCAATTTTCTTTTGGTGCTCAGCCTCCATATTCATGCGATAGAGTTGCACTTCCCTATCAGCTTCTTCTTTAGCTTGTCTCAAGCGTGCCATCTTCGCTGAAGAACGTAAAATTATTTTGGAGGATCCATATCAAGAGTTAAAAGGAAAAAATAACAAACCGATAAATCTCTGGCACATAGAGAACGTTAATTGCGGAAATTAGCATAAGAATGCATTTACAGTTTCTAGCATTGTTCACAATTTGTTGAGCATCCTGTTCTGCTGTTAGCAACATCTGGATGCCTCCTTGTCCTCTAACCGAATCCATGGCGGGCAACTATATATATCTTACCTGAAGAAGGAAAAGATTCCATAGGGATTTAGAGAATTAGTTGGTAGGCTTGTAGCTTCTCACTAACACGTAAACAAACAGATCCCGATCATAAACAATACACCAGCATTCAAATACACCAGTCATACGTACATGGCAGAAATGTTAATATTTGAAGAGCATTATTAAGGAATAAGATACAGTGACTCTCTTAAAATTGAAACTCACCATGAACTCTCTACTACCTCACAGTTTAACATCAATTCTCATGTCAACATATAAAATTTTAGACCTTCCAAAGGTCCCTGTTTAAGTCTCTCACAAGGCCCCAAAACCTCAGTGTCGCCTTACCTATCAGCTAGGTAAGATGATAACTACAACCAATACTTACAACAACCATGTTTGAAGGCAACTAAGTAAGGTGGTAACTACAAACCATAGTGTAACCATCCAATAATGAACAAAAACTACGAGTGTGCAAATACATATTGATTCATCTTCAATAAACTAGCTATTGGCCGGTCTAGTGTTACTTCCTTTAAATAATCAAGAAGACATCTCAAGTTTGAATTTTTCCTCCGTCAATGAATGAAAATAAAATAAAATAAAACAATCAAAATCTACACATCTTGTTCATGTGCAACAAAGGCAGATTCATATAATTAAAAGATTATCTCTAATTCATGAACAGATACATGCAATGGATCATATTATCCTAAAGTAGTAGCTAATCTTCAGAATAATTTGATTAAACTATTCTATAATTGTATGTATATATGGTACAGATGATTCAAATTATACGACAATAATATTGGGAAATGATTTTCATTACACCAAAGGATAAGTTACAAGAGTATTTATATGGAAGCTAAATACAACAGACTAACAGAGTAAAGGAAAGTTACAAGTGTGGTAATTTTCCTAACTAACTTTTAATTGTTTGTTATTACTATTATGTTGAGTTACTTGAGTAACTTTCTCTTCACACCCCCTCAAGCTAAACGGAGAAGGTTGAAGTGATAGCTTGGACCGGAGAAAAAGAAAGCGTTGCCTGGGAAGGGATTTGGTATGAATGTCAGCAAGTTGATCCTGACTGCATACAAATTAGACAGTCGGCAACTTGGCAAGAACAAGTTCCCTTATGTAATGGTAATCTATTTCCACATGCTTGGTACGAGCATGGAAAACAGGGTTGGAAGCAAGGGCAATCGTAGAAACATTATCACACCAAATTTGAGGAAGAGAAGGCAGCTTGAAACCGATATCAGTGAACAATTTGCAGATCCATGTTAATTCAGCAGCAGTGTGTGCCAAGGACCTATATTCAGCTTCGGTGGATGAACGAGCAATGGTGTGTTGCTTCTTGGCACTCCAACTGATGATAGAAGATCCAAGAAAGATGCAAAAACCCCCAGTAGAACGTCTATCCTAGGAACAGCCTGCCCAATCAGCATCAGAATATGCTTTGAGAGTAAGAGGAGTCGAGTTTTTAGGAAACCAGAGACCATATCCAAGTGTTCCCTTAAGATAGCGGAGTATGCGCTTCACTGCTTGAAAATGGGGTTCCCGAGGAGAATGCATAAACTGGCAGACCAAGTTTACTGAAAAGGAGAGATCCGGACGAGTCTATGTAAGATACTGAAGAGCACCAACAATAGAGCGATATTCCTCTGGATTATCCAATAGAGAACCAGTGAGATCAAGCTTAGTAGAACCAAGAGGAGTGGTGCAGGGCTTTGCTTCATCCATTTTAGTGCGTCGGAGAAGATCTAAGATGTACTTAGATTGATGAATAAAGATCCCTGTAGAAGCTCAGGTAACCTCCAAACCAAGGAAAAAATGCAAATCGCCTAAATCCTTAATGGGAAACTGATCACTAAGTTGAGAGATAACATTAGTGCAGGCTGTGGAAGAAGGTCCGGTGACAAGAATGTCGTCAACATAAACCAAAACAACCACCAAGACAGGTTGTTGCAACACAAACAAGCTGTGATCAGATTGTGAGGCCTTAAATCCCATAGAGAATAGAGCAGATTGCAGTTTTTCAAACCAAGCCCGATGAGCTTGTTTCAAGCCATAGAGGGATTTTTGCAAGTGACAAACATAAGAAGATTTGTCCTGATCAATGAAGCCTGGAGGCTGAGACATATACACATCTTCCTTGAGAGAGCCGTGCAAGAACGCATTACTTACATCCAATTGATGCAGAAACCAATTAGACTGAACTGCAAGAGTGAGAAGAAGTTGAATTGTAACTGGTTTAGCCACTGGGCTAAACGTATCACTGTAATCAATACCCTCATGCTGATTGTAGCCCTTAGCTACTAACCGGGCTTTATAACGGTCCACAGAACCAACAGGGTTCCTTTTAATCCGGAAGACCCATTTGCACCCAACGAGATTGTAAGAAGGATCAGAGGGAACCAATGTCCAAGTTCTTGTATTTTGCAGAGCATTAAACTCATCCTGCATTGCAGTTCTCCAATGGGGATATTTGGATGCCTGAATGTATGTAGTTGGAACAAATTCAGTGTTTAAGTTGGAAGGAAGAGGATGTTTGGTAGCAGTAAAGGCCTTGGGCTTAAAAATTCCAGATTTTGACCTGGTTTGCATAGGATGAGTAGAGACAGGAAGGGTTGGAGGTGGGACAGGGACAATATCAGAAACTGGGACAATATTAGGAACTGAGACAGGTGCAGGTACAAAAACTGATTCAGATGCAAATTCAGTAGGACTTACAGATGGTGGAGGTTGAAAGACAGGGGGAGAGGTAAGGGATTGTGAACGTGTAATAGAAGGAGTAAGAGGGGATGAAGAATAAAGGTTGGGAAAGGTAAGGGAAAATGAGGAAGGATTGACTGAGGAGGAAGCACAAGAGGGTAGCTGTGAAACAAGAGAGGGATTATGAAATGGGAATGTGGTTTCATCAAAGTAGACATGCCGGGAGACATACACTCTATTGGTGAAGGGGTCTAAGCATCTGTAACCTTTGTGAACCAAACTGTAGCCAATAAAAACACATAACTTGCTCTTGGGGTCGAGTTTGGACTGTGTATATGGCTTGAGCCAAAGATAGCAGCTGCAACCAAAGATTTTCAGCTGAGTATAATCTTTCTTCTTGAAAAATTGCTCCCAGGGTGAAGATTTAGCAGTTGGAGGAAGCCGATTAATGAGATAAACTGCAGTGAGAAATGCCTCTACCCAAAATTGATGAGGAACCTGAGATGCAATAAGTAGTGTCCTGGCTGTTTCCACAATGTGTCGGTGTTTCCGTTCTGCACACCCGTTCTGCTGAGGAGTGTATGGACAGCTAAAATGTTGATGGATGCCATGACTGGACAAATGCTGTTTGAACTGAGTACTAATAAACTAACCCCCTGAGTCACATCTCAAAGTTCCAATTTTGTGACCAGACAGATTTTCAACAAGAGCTTGAAAGTGAACAAAAACTTGAAATACTTCTGATTTATGTTTGAGAGGATACAACCAAGTGTACTTAGTAAAGTCATCAACAAATATGACATAAAATCGATATCCACTGATAGAAGACAGTGGAGCGGGACCCCAAACATCCGCATGAACCAACTCTAAAGATCTAGAAGAATGACAAATAGAATTCTGAAAAGGTAACTTGGCACATTTGCCTAAAACACAATTCGAACAGAAAGATTGTTTGACAATAGTAGATAAAGGCAAAGAAGACTTTGAGATCACAGATTGCAAAGTCTTGAACGTTGGATGCCCCAAACGTTGATGCCAAGTGTGTTGTGATGCCTTGAGTGCAGTAAGACCATGATGCTTCGATGAAGACTGAGAAGATGCAGAAAAGGGATAGAGACCACAGCGAACAGGAGCTCTAAAAAGCATCCTCCCCGTAGTAAGATCCTTGACATGAAAGTCAAAAGGATTTAGAGTTAAGGAACACCAATTGTCTCTAAGAAACATATTTGCAGAAACAAGATCATGCTTCAAGTGTGGAACATGCAACACATTTTGTAATTTAAAAGTAGCAGAAGGAGTATGAAGTAACGAGGAACCAGAGTGGAAAATCGGCAAACCTTGGCCGTCTCCAATGTAGACTTTATCGGGGCCACTGTAAGGTTGTAGATTCTGAAGATTTTGGAGGTTGTTGGTCATATGAGAGCTTGCTCCAGAGTCAAGTAGCCACGGAGGAGAAGAAGATGCATTTGAGCGAGCATACATAGCAAGCTTAGCTGGTGGAATACGGCCTTGAAAATTGGGATTCATACGATTGGAGCAGTCAATCGCTTGATGACCAGTGTCTTCACAGATTTGACAAGGAACATTCCTGGAATTATTGTTAAAGAACCGAGCACCATTACGAAATCCTTCACCACTACGATTTCCTTCACGATTAGAAGCATTCTTGTTGATGTGGTTACGAGTGTATCGATTGCGATTATTATAATTCCTTTGAGAATTATTGCGCTGAAAATTGCCTATGTTGAAATTAGAGGAAGGAGGAGGCTGAGCAATATACGCCTGAGGTGTAGGAAGGAGTGGAGGTGAAGACGCTGGAACAGACTGAAAAGCTTGATAGGGTGCAGAATTTGTTCCTTGAGTGGAATGCTTGCGAGCAAGAGCCATTTCTTTACTTAACAAAAATCCGTGAAGATCATCAACAGTGGTATCAGCAAGTCGAAACTGAATAGAATCCACAAAAGAATCATACTCATCAGGTAAGCCATTTAGAAATGATGAGGAGTAGATCATGATCATCCACAGGAGCACCAGCGGCGGCAAGAGCATCAGTAGCCTCTTTGATGCGTTAGAGATACTTCGAAATAGAAGATGAACCTTTCTTGGCAGATTGCAAGGTTGAACGGAGTTGATGAATGTGAGAACGAGATACACCGCCAAACCGCCGTTCAAGATTTTGCCAGAGTTCTCGCGCAGATTGAACGCCAACAGTGAAAGGAATCAGATATTCCGAAAGTGTGGAATTGATCCAGATAATGATGTTCTGATCTTATACCACAATTCATAGTCTGGATTGGGAATAGAGGTGAATCGACCAGAATCATCAGTAAGAAATTGAGGCGGTGGAGGTTCAGATCCGTCAACAATACCGGTAAGTTTGTA